CATATCTTAAAACTCTTAGTGGGTGGCGCCACGCCAATGTTTTTTATATTTTTATCCCACAATGTGCCTTGGTACAGCAATCAACTGTGCCGAATTACAGTTTAATACATATTTTAAATAAGTGCTTAGTTATGGCTTTTTATAATGGCGTTTTGTGAACGTGGCAGCGGTCCGATTACGCCCATCCAGAACTCGTCCTTAGTTTTTTGCCAAAGAACATGTGTACAAAGTTTCATTACAATATCTCAATCTTTATTATAGTTACAGCTTGCACGGACAGGCATCCATAACCCTATATCTAACTCGATTGGTTTAAGGTGTCTTAAGCTATTATTCTCTGTAGCAATATATTGCAAGGGTATAAAAGTAAATAATTAAATGAATAGAAAATGAATTTTTAGTGTATATATTAAGTGCGCTCTTATACCCTGAACAGGATATATTAAGTTTGCCACGAGGGCTTGTTGGAACAGCCGATATCGCACCGCTATAACATATAGCTGCCATACAAACTGAGCAATCAAAATCAATTGCTTGTATGGGAAACTTTTTTATTTGACGAAATATCTTCACGAAATTCAGCATGGATTATTATTTAAAGCAACAATGTAATTTCCGCATAAATTGTTCAGATCAGATCACTGTACCATATAGCTGCCATACGAACTGAACAATCGGATTTAAGTTCTTGCAAGGAGCCTTTGTATTTGTGAGGGGTATTATAGCTTCGGTGCAACCGAAGTTAACGTTTTTGCTTGTTTTCTCATATCACTTATTAATTGAAAATGAACATTTGTACGCATAATGTGAAATTTCAACAATTAAATTGTTATAAAAACCGACAGTGTGCATCCTCGAGATTTTATTCACTTCATGCATGTTGTACAATTCATTAAATTTTAAGTGCATTTTTATGTATTCAACATTCATGCTTCGGTATGAGCGCATTGTTCCAATGTAGTTTGAGTATTCTAGTGCATACATAGCGCTTACACTGCATAGTTATTGTACGCAGCGGCGTATACGCAACGCACGACAATGCAAAACATAGCTAAGAGCTCGGGTTGACTGCAACTATGTTGACTATAGTTTTGTTTCTCAGCCACATTATGTTTTGTTGTTTTTTTTTTTTTACTGTTTTAATGTTTTGTTTTTATTTCAATAGGCGGTACACAATCAATTAATGAAATTGCATTGTACCCACCAACAGGCAGCCACAATAACAACAATTGCCTTTAATATTATAATAAGAATGGCAAATACAAGGATGAGACGGGCTGGCGGCGGCCATGGTAGTGGAGATTGTGGCGGTGGTGATGATGGCAAAACAATGACTGCACGAGGAACAATGGCAACCACAATGCCAACCAGTGTAATGCGGCAGCGACAAGTGCAATTATAGCGTAACATTGTCATAACAACAGACAAAGAAATTCAATTGTCTACATATTTGCCTATGCGTGTGCATACTAATGCAAGTCTATCCATATATATCTATGTGTATGTTATATACATAAATATGCAAGAATTGTAAGTGGGAGCATTTGTTGGCATTTATTATTAAATTTTGTGTTTTGATGTACTTTGGGGAAGACAAGTATTAGTTATTGCTTTAGTTGGCAAGCAGAAAATAGGAAGCAAGAAAAATAGTCAAGGGAAATTGAACTAATTGAAAAAATACATACAGCAACTTTAGATAAAAGTGTTTTTCTAACACGTAAGTCCATCACAATTTATTATATTGAACTTTTATTCGACATTTTTCTCAAAATTAAATTGGTGCTCCAAATTTTACTAATATTTAAAGCCGCATATAAATATGTACATATACATATTTTTGCTTGCTAACCTATATATATATATATATACAATATATATACGCTCATATGCACACTTTCACACTATTCGAAATGGATCTACGCCATTACATGAAAAAAATATTACATTTTGCACAAAAGCACCTTAATTGAATTTCGTTGTTTTTGTTTACACAGTTTAATTGTTTTCATAACCCTATTAAGTAATTACAAACGCTCGCAACACAATTGAATTCTTCCGTTAGCAGCACCTTCAATGTTGCGGCTCTTTTACATGCATGCCTACGTGTTGTTTGATATGCTGGATAGTGTTAATTAATACTGAATAATTTTGCACATCAATAATAGGTCACAGATAATTAATTGTAGATGATAGCTTATTTAAGTTTTATTTTATTTACATTTTTTGAATCAAAAATATTAAAGGCTGCATTTAATTATAATATGTATTTAAACAAAGTAAACTTTTAACCAAATCTATCAGCACCCTAAATGTAGGCAACACTATTTATATGCTATTTAGCTTATTCTGACACCTTAAGCAAACAAAGTTTGCGGCTTTGCTATAATAGGTGTGTTTTATTGCACCAGCACGTTAAGCTATTAGCTTATTTTGTATGGAAGCCTTAGCTAAAATAATAATATGGTTATCTTAGCTTGTATATTGAACTAGAGGTATTGCCAATTCATTTTTTTTTCATTCACAATAGTTGGGATTTTACAAAAACAAAGTCGTTGGCAATACCATAAAACCTTAATTTGATAGATGAAAATGTAAACTTACAGATTCTTGTAGTTGAAATTTGGGTTGAAATTAAATAACTAAATTAAACTTTGGTTTTCAGTTTTTTGTATTCTTGATCTCAAATAATAAAAAAAAATGAAAGGTATTTTAATAATCCATTTAGAAATTTAAAAATTCAAACTAATATTCACTTCTTCTCAGACATTTTGAAATAAATTGAATATCAGCTGTTCTTGCCCGCATTGCCAACACAATTCGAAAATATAAAATAATATGGAATATGGAATTTATTTTATATAAGAGCATCTTGATATTTATAAATTAAGAATATCTTTTTTGTACATAGGAGTAAGAAAAACTAAGACTAATGTTTATAGACTTTTATAATATATGTATAGTAGACTGCTTTTTTTTTTTGAACTATTTTTTAACTTCCCGCTAAGAAAATGGAAAATTTTCTAAAAATCGGGAAGATATTGGTTTCACCCCATTTTGCAAAAATCGAATTCTCAATAGATCTCGACGTTTTGAGGGTCGAGGAAGCTTCCCCGAACATTTCTACGATGATGTCCGTATGTCTGTATGTATGTGTGGATGTATGTGACCCTCTTATAACTTTTAAACGGCTCAACCGATTAACTAAACGGCATTCCAAAGGGTTTCATTGCACTTGAATTTCGTGTGAGTTTGGACCCAATCGGACCAGTAGATTTCGAGAAATCTCAAAAATAAATTTTTTTGAAATTGTTTATTTTGAAAAATCGTTTTTTTCGAATTTTTTCCAAACGACTTGACCGATCGACACCAAAAACTAATCAGTTCTAAACCTTGAAGAAACACATCGTTTGCCGCAAACCGGGTCGAAATCGGTTGATTTACTTGCTAGATATCGAAAACGAAAAATTTCGAAGAGCTCAAAAGCAGTGAAAAAAGCGAAATTTGAACGTTAGCGTATGAAATTAGAGGGAAGTTGCAGGGATGGCCCTTGAGGCCAACCGTTTTTTTTTCCTAATAATAAAACAAATATCTGCTAAATTCACACTAAAACACAAATAAAATCCAAATTCACACGAATATCAAAAAGAGAAATTAAAATATTATTATTTCTCTATTCATCTAACGCATACCGTTTATATGGTACAGTCCGGGTCAAATTTGATCACATGAACTTTGAAATTCTGTTGAAATTCAGAAATCATAGAACAACTGTTGGCGAAGCCCAGTAATTTTTTATACTCATTTAGTATTTTCTTTTGTAGCTTATACCCTTTATATCTATATATTAGAATCAACATTTTTTACTTACAACTTTAATCATGATTGTTGTCACTTAAATAGGAAATTATCACTCAATTCTCAAAAATTTATCTAAAAAATTACACAAACGTTGTTTTCTTATTTAGATTTTAAAGTATAATATTTCTACCTCCGACTAGTGCAGGGAAGAACAAAATTATTAGAGAAAACGGCTACCTTGTGAATTAAAAGGCAATGCTGAGATTTGTATTAATTCTGCATTTTTTTTGAAGAATGCCAAATATTCTTCCCTTCAAACCACAATTGAGCTTTCAGCAGACTCTACTTAAATAGTTTCTAAATGCTGAAACAATTTACGATGTTAATATAGTAAGATTTTATGCGAGCGTTTTCGACAGGCTAACTAACCGAAAAAGATATTCATTAAATGGAAACAAAAGCAAATTGGCACACTCAGGACATACATACACACATACACATGCGTTATGTGTGTGTATTGTTGAGGTGTTATACATACATGTACATATATATAACAATACAGGAGTTTGTATTTATTTGTCTATAGCTAAGTGGCGATGCTAACGGGCATACTCAATAGGAATGCATAAAGCACTTATACACACACAATCGAATATTATACATCTATATATGGGTGTGTGTTAGTGTACACATGCAGCACTAAAGTAACATAATTTGTGAAGCATATATTTTTGTCTGAGTGCAAAAATATTAGTCTATAGTCTAGACAATTGAAGAAACGACTGCGTAAGTTACTCGTTAGACTCAATATTGTTTTTGTGGTCTATGGAATCTAAAGAGCTAATATGGTAATTGAATATATTAAATATAAAAGCATATGAATGTATTTAAGCAAACATTTGGCAGTAGTAGTAGTAGTAGTACAATATAAACATAGCCATATGCTTGCTAACAAATACACACTACATTGGGCTGAATATAAATGAATTTCATATACATATACAAGTACTACATATGTATATCGATGCTAAGAGCTTATATTCACAAAAAAGGGATATTATTGCAAGAGCAGAGAGAATAATGTAGGACCTAAAGCAGAAATAAATTTCATGATTAAAATCGCTATTGCAGTTATCGGTTTAGTAAAATATATTCCACATTTAACAGTTTTGTTAAACAAGAGTAAGTACAATTCCACTTACCTCTTTCTAATCTTTTAATATCAAGTCAAAATATGCTCTTCAAAAAGCTCTGCAAAGAGAAAAATAAATTGATTGTTATTAGCTTAATGCAGAAAAAGTAAATAAAATATGTGGCAAATTTTCCAAAATATAAATCACTACTTAAATATTTACTCAAAATTATAAATTTTCATTTATTATATCATAACTTATCCAAATATAAACCTCGACTGTTTCGATGTCATTTAGAAAAGAGCAGAGGTCATCCCAATACTGAAAACTCACTTTTTTTTTTTCGCAGACACAACCTTTTTTCCTGCTTGTGTGCAGTTGGATCTCGATATGTCAGTTAATGTGTGTTTGCCACCTGTTTGTTTACGACGCAATTTTTACAATAGAAATAAAAGATCAACGAGAAGTTATCTGTATCGATTGAAATATGCTACAGAATCTTTGAAAATGTTGCAGAAGTAAGAAACACAAGTGTTTGAGTGGCACCAAGCATTCAGTGAGGGTCGTAGAGTCATCGAAGGCTTGCCTGAGTTGAGTCCTTCATCCGCCTTCGTTAAAGACGATAACATCGAAAAAGTAATTCAAACAGTTGCAATTATTGGTATCACAGAGATAGTAGATTATCTTCAAATCTCTTATGGAAGGAGTCAACACTTTTTGGTTAACGTTTTGGGTATGAAGCGAGTCAATGCTAGACTCGTAACGTTGAGTAGAGATCGCAAAAAAGATGTTGGACGACGTAATAATGGAATCTACATTTATCAAACACATCATTACTGGTGACGAGACGTGGGCTTAACTGTCCAAAAATCCAGCTGTTGACGTTTAATAAAATGAGCCGAAACCGAAAAAACCAAAATTTAACAAAGCCATCGAAGCTTATAACCAGGATTTGGAAAATTGGATTAAGCCTTAGAATCTTTGAGGTGGCTCAAGATACGCCTATTTGGAAGGCGACAATAAAGATTTGTATTAAAATGCGAGAAAATTTAGCCTATTTTCTTGGTTCAAACTTGATCAGCTCGTATTCTGCCTTTGGGTAAGAGTTTGCAATATATTTCATTCCATTTGAATCGGCTGCTATGGAAAACAAAATATTCTTAGAATATTCTTGAAATAATTTTGGCACATTTATATTTTGAAACCTCGCCCAAGTCACGATGCATTGAATATTTTTATTTTAGAAATGCAGATTGGCAAATCAATTGAAAATAATATGTCCGCGTATTGCATTTTGACATAAAAAACTTCATATTGCTACAAGAAATCCAATCAAATTCATGCTTAATTCATTACATAAGTTTTCTAAAAAACGTTGCTTATACAGCCATTCTATAAACAAGTCAACGCATAGAAATAATTTTGTTGAAATAGAATTTTGTTATATGGAATCATATCATTAACTTACTCAATTTTTAGACATTACTCAACATGCTTCAAATATAATGTAACGAACAGGAAGTTTACATAAATGCACGAAGACCGTTATCTTTTGAAATCATGTGTATACAAAAAGTGACAAATTAAAATGTCACCCATAACTATGTAAATCATATAATCTGCTTATACTCATGAACCATAACTTAAAGCCATATATTAGTAGCTTGCATAAACACAATGAAGTATGTAGTTATTTTACCCCAGGCGTTGATATACATATACCCTTATGCCGGGGAGTATAGCCATACCTTGGATTATAATATATGCTATCCTATATCTAATTTATAATGTGTTTAGGCTTCATTGGTTTGATGGTGGTTATGTTTACACATAGTTTCTAACACATATGCACATTTTCATGCCTTAACATCCTTGTCAAATAATCCAACTATTAAAAAATAAACATAGTTTAGAAAAATCTTAGAAGGAATAATTTTAAATATTCCCTCTATGGTTAGTGCACTATGATTGCTAAATTCTGTCGTCATCATCAAAGCAAATCCATACTCATATAATCTCATTGCAAGGTATTACCTTAGCTGTCAGCAGCTCAACCTCGAACGGGTATGAAAAGTATACCTTTTCTACACAAATAATCCAATTTATAAAGCGGTGAACACTGGACAGAACTACAATATTATACCTATATAACCGTATGCATATAATAAGATATACATATATTCTTAAGAACCCTGTAGGAATTGTAAGCATCGATGTCCGCAGATTTGAAAAACTCAGCAGACGAATAGAACAATATTTCTTGAGGTTGTAAAGGCAGTAAGAGCAAAAATAAGTTAAATGCATTACTAACGAAATTAAAAACCGTCAATATTTTGGCGTTACGTGAACTGACGACTTTCAAGTTTGCTCTGTGTTTGTGATACCATGAACATTTTCGAAACATTATTTGACTTGAAATACTCCAATTACACAAGTGAGGCTTTATGTTATTTGTCAACGCTCTCTCTATATTCTTATCAAAGCGAACTCTTGCAGTTGGCGGAAATATTTCTCAAACCGAAAATTTATAGTATTGTATAAAATGAACAGCAATTGTTTCAAATAGTTAAATAACATATTTTATAGAACATATTAAGAACAAAGTAGAACACTGCCTAAGAACATCGATCCGTACTCTAGCTTCTAAAAGCTTTGTGCTTTTCCAATATACGAGGAACTAGAGTACAACTGAAGTTTATTAAAAGTGAGCTGCTTTGAAAAATAAGCTTTCGACTAGAAAAATATACTTATAACTCTTCATATAGATCCCTTTATGATGTAGATGCCCAAATAATTATGAATTATACACATGGCTGTCCAAAAAATGTTTCTGTTTTATCTCACTGGTTAACTAACTGAATACAGATGTTATCAAATGATCTAATCTATATAACCCTTATAATTTTCAAAACTCTCCACAGTTTAATATTTTCATCGGAAACCTTAGTAATGAGTTTCGCACAGAGCACGCCTGTGTTTGTATGCCTATACATACCCATATAGATATGTATTCGTATGCCGTTAGTAAGGTCGTGTTGGCATGCATAATTTTGTTTGCACTTAACAAAGGATTTTCCTAGGAAAACATACTATTATTAGTCAACACACACAGGTATGCTTTGTGAGTTTATGCGCAGCATGCATCAGTGTCGTTCAAATAAGCTCATGCATAGGTACATTCACATACATACACACATAAATAATGTATGTATTCAGTGGGTGTGTTCTCAACATGACAGTTTCATTTCGTATTTTTTGCTTCTACTGCGTTTCTTCTTTTTGAATTGCATATGCATTTTTTCGTTTAAAGAAAAGCATATTTGTATTATTGCCACATGCACAGGAACGTACATATTTACACGAGTACATATTTACATCACAATCGAAGTTCATACACTTGCCCTGCTGTGCACTTTGTGAAATAAAGCCTTGGTCAAGCTCGAATAAATGAAAGGTTGTCAATATTCTTTTGTCACATTCTTTATATTCTTCATGCGAGAATATTCAACATACAAAAGTTTATAGTATACTTGAATTTTACGTTATTTTTGTCTGCTAAGAATTGCCTTTGAAGCATTCTTCTGCATAGATTGAATATTTCTATACAAACAGAAAAAATTTAATTACTATTTCTGTGGATTGGTAGGCATATTTAATAAGTGAAGAGAATATTTTTGGAAATTCCTTTAAATAAATAGAAGATTTAATTTTTACATTTCATTAGTTTTAACACAATTCTTAATAACTTTCATTTATAGTTGGCAAAATTAAAATTATTAATCTACTTCACACACGGTCATCTACTTAAACGATCCTTGGTTAGTGTCTCATTGAGGTGAAGTTGAGTCAAAATAATATATCGAAGCTCTGCGCTTGTTCACAGGCAAGTTTTTTGTTTATTTCGAGAAAAAATGGGTAAACAATCAGGAAGAATACAAAATAAGAACGAGCGTCAAAGAAATGTTCGTCAACTATATCATAACGCAAAAACTGAACGAAGTACCTCTAATAGCTATAATTTTAAGGCATCACAGCAGTGAAAGGTTTTTGCGCTTGGAACCATCTATGAAAACTCGCCTGTTCCTGGCTACTCAAAAATCTCAGACATTCTTATATAACTATTGTAAAACCACAACAAAAATTATAACTCCTCTACTGTGGGAAAAAGTTAAAGCTACAATTAATTAATAATTCCCTGGTCTGGAAAAGATAATAAACATTGAACATAAGTCAAGTCAAATCATTTCATTCCGATAAACAAAATCGTTGCAGCCATCTCTCTATTTTTAGACACATGTGTATTAGACTACAATTACCAATTTTGTAATTCAAAGCTTTTATGTAGTGTTGAATCATTAATACTTAGCCCGATTATTGAGGGTTATTATTTAAATGGCTTCACAAGCAGCAGTATCTACAAAAACTGCCGTTTATTGCAAAAATTGGGAACGCTGATTGACATTCAGTAAGGAATAGATTTCTGCGGTTTTGTATGACAAGCCCTCAGAAAGCCAATGTTAAAGGCAGGCCAGTGGAAATTTCCCTGTCAACTATCGAGCTTAGTTGAAGAGTAAATCAAAATGCTTCTGGTGAAAGTCGCATACGACCCAGTGAGATCTTCAGTAAGCTTCGCGTTTCCTAAGTAGAAGGTATGTCATTAGCCATAAGGTGTACATGCGGTCATATTCAAAACCGTCTTTCTGATTCCAATTGTCGAAGTTGTTTGAAACAAGACTATATAGAATCATTTAAGCATTTTCTGCTCGACCATGAATCTCAAGTCTTTAGCCATCCAGACGAACCTACAACGATCTAAATAAATCGTCAAAGCCAATTCGGGAAGGGTTGAGAACGCATTGTCATTACATGAGGATTAAACTCTATCTTCTAATATTTTTGGTTTGGCAAAGTGCTTTCGTGAGCGCTTAAATCTCTCAAACCTTACTTAACTCAACTCAGGATTTATAAACAACGTTAATTCGCGACATAATCCTACATCATATCTCAGTAAGTAACATTTTTCATCTTATCACTATGAACCTAGTGGAGTTTATATGGGATACAGATCCATTTCTCTCAAGTTTTTAGTTTAATCACTAACAGTCTCACACATAACTC